TTTAACATTAAAAATAAAACAATCCCGATATTCTGGGGTAACTTCCAACAGTGGAAGCCATCGATATGGCCGGTTGCATAATTAAATTAATAACACTGGTACCAGAGTGAAACAAAAAACGTAGTGTAAAGAAGAAAATGCATTCGTTACTTTACTCCGACAATGCGGTAGTATAAAATAGATGGAAGTTGTACTGCACTGTCCCCTTTGCGTCTAGGGGGATATTTAAATTAGTCTCCACCATTTGTCTAGTGGTTATACGTACGATCATCCAATTGTAAGTATTCGTCTTGAAGGTTACAGAATTGAAACGATTTTACTTTAATATTTTAGTTGCACCTAACACGAGTAATATGAAAATAAGCTGTACTGACTTCTGCTCGTTCTTTAATGAGGACATATATGACTGTATGATGCAGATCAACGGTAATGGCAGGAACGGAGCTTTGGCAAATGCTACCCAATTTTAAGATTTCATATCGCTGTTGCAAAGGCATAATGAAATAACATATTTTATACTTAACTTTCGATGCTTTCGTTTATTGTCAGTTCATGCTAATATGCTTAGATTGCGGGAAAAGCAAACTTTAAATCGGCTATAATTTACTTTTTTGTTTCGAAGATTTTTTCCTCAAGATAGTTATGCATGAAAATTAAATAAAATGTAGAAATATTGTGGTGTTTTCTGAAAGTCTGATAGCTCTAACGCCTGTCAATCAGAAGTGTGATTCAGTATTTGGAGGATTTAGTTGTGATTACATTCTCTGGATCAACGTGAATAAGAATCGCAAAAGCAGAATTTTGTGGTAGACTCGTGAAGAGGGTCCCACTTGTGGATCTTCATGATGCTAGTGATTCAATGTTTATAAATATTAAGCAGGAAAATGTTATATACAAAATATTATGCTTCTTATTGCTAAGCGTAAGCATGTTCAGGCAGGAGTCAAGACAGAGACTGTAAGTTCTGTCTTCGTGTCCCGTCTACTGTCATGAACTTTCGTCAGACACAGTCAGACATGTCGGTGATAATGATAGTTTTGTCACTATACGTCAGTCGCTGTCCTTTCCGCAGGCCGGGTCTGCGTTAGATCAACCAGAGCCCGCTGTTGCACAGTCGTCACGTTGCACAGTGGCTCCTAAGATGCCAATCTACACAGCAATTCTAATTTCTTCATTGCACAACAACGCAACATAATACAGTCAGCCACGTTGGGAACACGAGCGTGAACATCGCTCTGTTTTAAATAGCATAGCGTCTGTCGTACTGTACGTCTCTGCATGTCGCTCGAAAGGACATGGTGTTGTGACGAGGCGACGGAGCACGACGGATGTGAATACAGAAGCAAGGGCGCGGAGGCTGAGTTCTGCGTTTCTTCCCGTCACAGTAATCAATCATTCGCCTATACACATAGGGAGTAATGTCACACAGTCCGCCGAACGTCCTCGCAGCGCAGTTCCGTGCAGTCAACGTTGTCATCGTACAGTACATAGATCTACAATGACAATATATGAAGTATGGTCGTCAGGTCAGCAGGCAAACGTACGGTCTGTGTTTTACTGCGGCATGCTAAATGCATAACAACAGACAACCTACTGTAAATATCTACCTCTACTTCATAAAAATCATATACTCGTCCTTGTCGCACTGAGAAAACGACGATCAAAGGCAGGCATTACTCGGCAGGGTGGAGTACGATAGGGATTTTTTCCCGCTACGGTAGCCGTGAAGACCTGTTGTGAACCTAAACAGTCAGCCAACGAGGCTCCGATGGACTATTAGAAAATCCGAACTGGTGATCACAAACGTTCAGTCGCACGGAAGCCATTTTTCAGACGATCGGCAAATGAGCCCTTCTCCGTGGAAACAAGTAACTGCCGCTAGTTCACAAGCAGACACCTACTCATACAGCAATAACGCAGCTGCTCTCCCGCATTCTACATCTCCCTTACTTTAAGCAGATAGAGTATAAAAGGACAACTAACCAGGAAAAATATGAACGCTAACTATTTCACAGTTTGGATAGTTAACGCGATGGCCTGAGGGCATTCATTGGCAAAGTACTCCCCCGTCGATTACGTGCACATGGCGACGATACTGCGTACGCTGCGCGGGCACTTACCTGAATAGGATTATCATCAAAAGGGACGTTGTTCACTCTAGTCTACTTCGCTTTGGTAACGAGCGTGTGCTTCTTAATGGCCTCGGCTCAGCGCGCATCACCTGAAACATGAATGCAAATAGTTAAATAAAATTAATAACGCACAACAAAACAGCAGCAGCCTGCAAATCACGCAAAGAATGAACATCACTTAAGTCGAATCGGTATTTCACGAAGTTTTCAAAATTTACAGCATTTAACAGTTTTTAACTTAGTTTGTGGAGTAGAACTAAAGATGAGCTAGCTGATACATCATTTCATTCTTTTGTTTTAAGGAATGTGACTAATGAGCCGTGCTGTACGCCATTTTACGCATTTCTTCCTCAGATATCTTTCCTGATGACAGTCACATTGATAGGACCATGCAGCATTAAAATTGATAGCGCTTAGCATCTGAAGCAGTGAAACAAATCGTACAGTGTGCATGAGCCAGTGTCGCAACCTTAACCGGGCGATTTGCCCGAGTACACATGGTAAACGCAGAAAAATACTTTCCGTTTACAATTTTTCGCAGATCTGTCTATGAATAATGTGCTCAATAATAAACAAAAAATAAGCCACATTTTTTAATCAAATATCAGTACCGGATATTACGTTCAATATCATAAACACGCTTGGTATTCGAACACGTCGGTGTAGTGAATACTACTGATCGATTTGGTCAAAGTTGTCACATGATCTGTTTTCAAAGGTATCGGATGTGCGGGCCAAATGTTGGCAAAGGTGTGCACAGATCATGGGCGCTTTTCAAATATAAGACAGGACAAAATTTCAGTGACCAAAAACAGTAAAACTGTGTTCTGAGAGAAACGCGGGTTGTGAAAGAAACAAATACACTCGCATTACTGACAACTGGCTGTACATCGGGAAATTTTGTGGTAAATAATTAAAAACCAGGAAAACGTTTTAAGACAAATTTGACAGCAGAATTTTATAACTTTGATATCGTACGCCAATTATTGCATACTCGCTTTAATTAGAGTTGCGAAATAATCTGATATTTTAGGCTCTCCAGTCACACTTGTCTGTTTCTTACACTGGTTAATATGAAGATGAAGTGACATCAAAGACTCTCAAAGACACTCATCAGGTGATATTGGATTACGCAGTGCGACCGTCAAGCCTCGATCGTTAAGGGTAGCACCGCCGGCAAGGGCATCGCGGTAATAATTGCAGCAAAGTTGTTTACGAAGAAAGTAAGTGGATTCGTTTGGGGGGGGGGATGACTAGATCCGCGGTATATCTGTTTTTTCGATATAGCGAAAGGTGTTGTAACACGGTTTTACTGTGGTAAGAAACTTGGGAAGATAACGGTGTTCGGAAACATTATCGAGATAGCCAACGAGGCTTCAGGCATTCAGACAGTTGAAACGGTTTAAAGCAAACACAGCTGCTTCCCCTAGCACTTGTGTTGCTTCTACGGCCGTTGGTTTATTCGAGAATCACTTAGACACAAATGAAGCCGCTTTAAACAGTGAGAAACAGTCTGAAACATTTGACATACTCTTTCTATTGGTAATCGCTTTATCCCCTAACGCTCTCTGGGACAACGAAAGGCGGGGCGTGACAAAACAGCTGTTCTTCGATGGGGCAGGGCTATTCACGAAACAGAAGTGATTTCAGCGATTGGTAGAACAGCCTAGCCAACTGAGCAGTGGCAGCCGGTTTTTCCTTGTTTAAAGGACAATGCTCAAAGATTATTAAATTCATCGACATTTGCTTAGCCGAATATACAAGCTTTACTGGAATTATACGACGCATTTTGGGACCATGTGCCCTACAAGTCAGGGGAAGATCGACTGATTCGTAACGGATGAACGATTTTACCCACCCGTAGTCAGATAACACATCTGGGGTTAACGCAACGGCCTCTCTCTACTGCCAGTACACTACATCTTTATCTTACAACTAACTCATGTTGTATCAATCTGATACCGCCTTAGAGAATGATTGCTGGAAGTCATTACGTAATAAATATATAGCAACGTGTAGACTAGTGTTGCATATTCATGATTCGATTTATCTTTGTTGTGTACGCCATAAACGCGTGTCGGTGCTCCTAAAGAATTCTTTCCATTCTCTTGCTTCTGTTTTCTACCTCCAACGCTGACCAAGTAATTTCATCTTCAGATCGTCTTAGCATTTTCTTGAACGACCAAGTAGACGTCTGTTGTCCAGCGGAATCCAGGGTGCAATTTTTGACGTCTAACAGTTGTCTCTCAGGCGAGCCACATGCCTACATCACCTCTCCGTGCCGTAAAAGGCAGAAACTGTCCATTAATCCATTTAAATGTAGAATTTGAACGCATGGAACGCGGACACAAAGAGAGATCTTGTGTATTTTTCGCTGTATCGCATTTTGCGTGACAATCAGTCTGTTCTCATTAGTTTAAATAGCAGACAAATACCCTGCGCCGTAGATCGTAGCGGAAAGGATGGTTAAATACTTCTTCTATTGTTGTAAATAACAAGGAAAAGGACCAACAACGAACGGGAAAG